ACACCCCGTTACTCAAAATAATAATTCTCGGCAGCAGTAAAAACGGTTTGAATAATGATAAACATACGTCTGCTATGTCAACTTTGCGTGCGATAGGTGACTGTTTCTGAATCCACACACGTAAGCTCTTTTCAATTGACGCTGTAAGCAGTACCTTATCAGTGTCGCATAGCACCGGAACTCGAAGGGCGAAAGGGCGAGTCTGTGGTTGGGCAAGCACTATCTATCTTTGGCAGTAACTTTGCAGACGAGTTTCAATAGAACTGCGCTCAATTCTTACGGAGAAAAGCGTATACAGGGCTAGGCCATTTTCCTGGCTCCGTCACATTGCAAGGGTAACGTATTTAGTTATTGAGCTTAAGGGCACGTGATGGTTTAGGTTAGAAACCGGGCACCGAGAAACAGTTCATGTTGTCAAACATCTGTCTATAGCAGTGCATAACGGCAGTACATGATGTAAGATTCGTACCATTTACCTTAGACAGAAAAGGAAAACAAGTGTGACTATGATGAATATATTATTTTTCTAATAAAATATATTCTTCCGTGAATTAAAGCTATGGATAGAATAGTAATGCGTGCTTACGTAGTCGTATAAGTTGTGTCGAGAAGTAGATCTATACGCTTGGGCTACTTCCTAGCTTTCATAAACAAGAAGTTAGGGAAAAAAAAATAAGCTAGGCCCTAAAAACCCGCTGTAAAATTAAGAAAAAAACGATAAAGGGATCTAAATATATCCTAACTATAAGTATACCTGTTTCGACTTGAACTCCATTGCACGAAGCTGACAATGAGAATATATTTTTCGAGGAGCAGTAATTTTGCTAAAAAAAAAATTTTCTGTGCGTCATGTATTTTTGTTCTTAGGAAAAATGTTGCGTTCTAAAATGTTTGCAAAAATCTCTATTTATTTTTTATTTGGTAAGTCTGGTTGGCATTGCCGATCCAGATTCTAATCGTTACTTTATCAAGTAACGATTAGAATTTTTAACAGCCTTCTTAAACAGGAAACTTATAAAAAAAATTATTCCGCTAGATAACATTGAACGGACCTATAATAACCCGTATCAAGTTTGTGAAATCATATATTGATATTCATTCTATAATAAAACTATCAATAGTATTATTTTGAAGTAGCAGATCTTCAAAATGACAAAAAAAAAAGGAATAGATATACTGCACATGCTCTATTCCATCATGAATGTTGTTTTTCTCAAGTAGAAGTAAAGCAATGTTATTTGTTGCACGCCTATTAAATGACAGGAAGTTTATCCAAGCGCTTATTATACATTTATATTTAGCGCGTTATATTTACAAGTCACCATAAAAAAGGGTCTGACAGAAAAAATGAAATTTCACTTGATTGATTCTAACGGGTTAAACAGAACTAAGTGCTTCCCTATGATTAGGCTTTGATCTCATATATAAATTTAGGTATGAAGACTAAAAAGACTATATATTTCGCTATAGAGGAATATTTTTCGTAAAATCCTTGGGTGTCCTAAAATAATTTAGTTTACAGATAACTTGGAACTATTGCTAAACGGAAAACACCGTGGAGAGGTTACTTGGTTCATTTCTTTAAGTTATTTGCATTTTTTTTTATGGCTTGAGTATAATCAAAACATGAGCCTTTGATCGCAGGGTAAGCATGACCAACGGGTGTGATCCATTGTACAAGCGATGATTTACAACCCGATCTATTATTTCGAATGATGGGTTGAGTCATAAATAAATTGGTTTATTATTTGGAACTTGATGGCAATAGCCACTGGTCTGAAATAATGCCAAATAACGGTGGTACTAAAGTAAAGATAAGTTTACAATCTCTACGAACGTATCACGCTTTTCCCCTGGTTCTAACAAGGCTTCTTTTGAATTGCTGCGATGTCACGTGTAACGAATTTATTTGACGAGATAAACATGAAATAAAAACAATTTTTATTCATATTTATACTATTTATCGTATATTTTTTCAGCGTGGCCGGCACGCCGGAAACAACATCGGACACAGATAAAATGTATACGTTACCATCTATTTGGTTCAACGGTTTTAGCTCCGTGAGATACGGTCAATCTATTAAACATCGCATCATTTTGTTATTTTTATATTTAATCGAAAATTTTTCCTTTATTTTGTCGTATCGAGACACAGTTGGGAGCGTAGAATGCGTATGATGATGAAAGACAATCGCAAAAGAAGTAAGGGCGCTGATAAGTTATGAAGGGTTGATTTTTATCATTTTAGCGTAGGACACGTGTGCCTTCTGCGTACTACTGCGTAGGACATGTAGACGTTATACTATAAAGGCAGTTTCATTGCCGGCGTTTCGAACTTTCATCTGGCACACGCTGCTTGGCGCTGGCTAATATTACCTCCATTTTACTGGTAAGCAAATATTGGTGGGGGTAGTTTTTATTATTAAATAAATGGCGATGCTGTTATCCATCGCTGAGCCTCAATGCTATTCCAGCTGATGTCTACTGGAAGTGAGAGAGCGCATACTCTGGCCATCAGTCAATCAGCTAAAGGTAAATAATGCCAAATAACTATGAACAGGAAAATAGGTAGTTAAGATTGTAAAATGATGACTCCATATGCTTATAATGTAAAGTAAATTATGGGTGCTTTTAATTGCAAGCAGACGGTTAAGCGTTATTACCATTACGGTAAAATGGACAAGCAGCCGATGTCGTAGTTCAAATAATCGTTAAAACGCTTTTTCATGCAGAGCAAATGCACAAAATCAATGAAGAGTAATTTAGCCGAACGGTATTTTACACATTGCTAAATTACTTGTTGGTATGATATTAAAATGGTGTATTTGCTAATTATTTGCCTCGTGTTGAAATCCGTTTGCACCGTTACGATACCGTTGGGAGGCAAATTAAGTAAATATTAGTTAGGCCGATACTATCGCAGTGAGCACATATCTGCGCTGTTCGTATCTGTCAAAAACGTACATACACGCCTTAGGGGTCGATTAGAGATACGCTAGCTAGGGAGCTCAGCCAATTACGAGTTACATAAATAACATGTTGGCAGACGCCTATCGCAGAGAAACAAACGTCACCATAATCATCATTGATGAACTTATCCGGGCCACTGTCTCAAGCTGCTGGTAACGTGGTGTTGGAAGCTATTCATGCCTTCGGCATTTTCGTATACATCGCAATGATAGAACAACCGAACAGATTGTGCCCAATGTACAACTCCGTCGTAGAAATGATGGCAATAACCATTTCGGGATGTTAGAGCAATACCGGTTCGGGGAGAACATGCAAACGACATTTAAATTGCCCTCGCTTTGTACCTAATCCGCCAAAACACTTTATGCTAATATTCTTGTTGAATGCTTGAAAATAAAAGTCATCCCTTCTACACATATTGAACACTTTCCGTACGATATCATTAATAGCATATAGATAATTACTAGATTTTCATGTTATTACGTCTTAGTCGTGTCTGTATAATATGCTCTTTAGCCCTTTTATTAGTATTTATCAATGCAGAGAACAGGGTTGGATTTTACCGAAAACTGATCTGAACCTAGCTAACTACAATGTCAATAGTTAGTAGTCAATAGTCGGAGTTCGAGTAATAACTTTCAAAAAATAGCATATATAGAATGACATGCGACTAACGTACGACTGTCCGATCATACAGTCGATATAAGCTGACGCTGCATCAAACAGTTATATACCACCCTTCCTTTTACCGCGATGCAAAGCGGGATTTATTTTGACGCTTACCATTTTATATCCTGTATTGTTCTATGACTAGATATACGGAGGAATTGTCGTTCAAGCGCTAAAAGTTAATTAAGTAAATATTTTAGAACACGCACTTAATTGAAATAAGCCTATTTGCATCCGCACTATCGATCGAAATATGTGAGTGTTTTATGCAGCATGAATCTATAAGCATTGATCGAGAGGTTCGAAACGATAGGTAACCGATGCTGATGCTTCTAGGTTGTCGTTTTTTAAATCATTGGAGATACTGATGAAGTGCTAAGCTGTAGATACCGAATTAGTCGTTAAGCAGAAATTTGGCATAAATTTTACTTCTTTTTTTTTTTACCGTAAAATGTTGATGTTCCACTCAATACGCTCGAATTTTTTTGAGGGCAAATACACCACCATCCAAACGTCTTGGGCCACTGGCACTTAGGGAGGTTAGCAAAAACAGATATTATCGATCCGCGTTATTTGTCATATTTGACGTACTTATCCAGAGCGTCAAGTAAGCTTGTTACCGAACTAGTATTTACCGGGTATTAATCTCGTCAGTTTTATTTTCAATGTTCTAAATAGAACGAATACGCACTCCCTCGATGACCCACACTTGGCAATTCTACTGTATGTATTAGGTTTCGCTTGGTATACTGAGCATGGAACATAATATTATAGATATGGTATCTTTTTAGCAATAGGTTTAGTGAAAAAATCCGTTCTAACTACCGTGGAGTCTCATAATCCATTTTCATTTTTTGGAAAAGCGGCATTAAATGCACGGGCAATATATATATTAGATAGGCTTGGCAGAGCTACAAACGTTTTAAGAATAATAAAAAAAAAAACCCACTGTTTATAGCTTTCGTCTTAATGAAATAAAGCCAACTGGCTATCTCAATGAGGTGCTATGTTGTGTAGACATTAATCAGCGTTTTCACGACACGACAGTGATAGAGGGGAAGCCGTACATCGCGACAGTTATCTACTTTGAAAAGAACTTCCAAAAAAGTCAGTCTTATTTTAGCTGACGAGGCCTTTCCGATGATGCGACTCAACTAATGGGTTTCAATAGATAGTGCTTGCAGATCTGTTTTGGCATGCCGTATAACAAATATCCAAAGGAGAATGTAGTTTTATTCGACCAAGAGATTTGATTAACCTGTTCTTTCAGTAATAGTTTAGGCTTGTTCATCCATAGCCACTTGGTCCGACATTTTCAACGAAGTAATCTCGACTACGTTTCTTTACGGCAAATATTTCAGGAGAGCAAGACGAAGGCCCATGAGGAGGTGTTCGAACCGGAATATTCCGAAGCGTGAGAAGATCCGAAAGATGAAAAATAGGTCAAGGTTCGACACGCGAGCACACGACACCACCTTGGGCCCTCATGCAGCGATGTCCTTCGTAATAAAAATAAAAACCGAATATGTAACGCAAAGATCACCTAATTCATCAGCTCATCACCAATTACCTCATTCCTTCATCACACGGCCGAGGATAACACGAAAAAAATTGCAGGACTCCAATTATCTTTACTGATCTCTTCTTCTTCTTCTCCGACTGGACATAACCGATCCGCGCAGTATCAACAACAATACCGGCATCACGTTTCACGTGGTTATTACGTACCTACGTGTCATGTTGTCATGCGTATGACATGTTCTGCGCCATATACTGCTGTTACTGCTACTAGCGTACAGGAAATAATTGATCACGTATGGCGCAGTTGTGCACGCATGCATATACACACCCATAATACGAAATAGTGCATTGCGCAGGCGCACACGAGCGTCCACCATTTGTGTATGTACTAGAAGCAGAAAGAGTCCAGACTAAGCAGAAAAAGATGTGAACAACGTCGATTAGAAGAGTCAGCGTCGGCGCGAGAGGTCCGACGCAGCTTTTGCCCCGAAGGAACTGACTTCGACACGGGGGATGCAGCACGAAACGGACACGGAAGTGAAGCGAACAACAGCAACGCTCGCTCTAGCTGCAACATAAACCGAATACACTCCTCCTATAGCATCTATCATAGCAGTCGCAGCAAATAAATATTAAGCGGGGCAACAACAGGATAGAAATGCGCACGCCATAGGGTCGTGCGGGACCTGTGCACCGCTGTAGATCAAATGAGGGGCGGGTAGCGGGCGGGAGATAGGTGCTGTCTAAGGCATAGGTAGCTTGTCTCGTATGTATATCATTGACATGGAAAGCAACGGGTAAGAACAAAAGAAACATACAGAAGTTGCCCGATAGCTAGAGAGGGTGGAGGATCTCCGTATATAGCAGGTCGATGCAATTATTATTACGATCATTATGATCAGGAAATCAGGGCTGCTCTTCCCCTCTTTTTCCCCAGAAAAACCTAAAGAAGACAACGGGGGGTCATGAGTTATCACGGACCCCTCCATATATGTAAGCAATGCGCAGGGAGAGAGGGAGACAAAAGGCATACGTATATATATGGAAAAGTACAGAAAAAAGAAACAGAGAAATGGGGTAACACACGAGGCACATAGGCACCTAAGCACACACGGATCGCATACACACAGTGACACCAATAAACACACTCATACACATATAAAGAAACGAGGAGACAGACGCTCTCAATCACCCTCTACTAAGTGAATCAAATAATATATATAGATATATATATATATATATATATATAAGATATATATATATATATATATATATATATAAAGAAGGAAGATCAGAAAGATCATCGTGCTGGTGATTATAATTAATTATTAATATTAATAATTATTAATAATTAAGCAAATGATGATAATATAATGGTAAGTGGCGCCAAAGTTGGTACGGAAAAACACAAACAATGGACAGTAACAAGTGGGTAATGGAGAAATGAAAGGAACCTCTGTACTGTATCTCAATGCGATCTCGCTGCATTTAAGTCTACCTAAGATCTCAACATAAAAGTAAAGGCAATGTTTCTTAAGCAATCAATAGACCTTGTTTTTATTTCGTTAGTCTTGATTTGTTTATCGCTTATCTTATAATGTGGATTTTTTAATTTAAACTGAATAAAGAGCTTGAGTTCAGAAAGAAACATTTTTGTTTTGTTAACGAAAGTCTAGAAGTAGAAGCCGCCGTAAAATAAACTATGCTTTGATTAACAGAAGAATTATTCTGTTTACAACTGCAAAGCTTACTTACGGCGCTCACTTGTAAACTCGTTTTAATAACAGGCTTAATAACCGGGCCAGCACGTGTCACTTCTCAACAAATATACAAAGCAAGAAACATTATTGTATTTTGCGAGCGCTATAAATGAGACCGTAGCATATAATTTTAAGCGTAATCGCAAAACCTGGACTATACTAATGTTTTTCGTGCAAAGTAAAAAACAAAAAAAACCCGTGCAAAATAAGATACCGTTAGATTCATTATTGAGACTGTCATCACACATCTATAGACCTTACTCGAGACAAACTGGCCACTTCTTAGCCTACTGTTGAGCTATAAAATGGTGCTGCCGGGGTATTCGAGTCTTATGGTGGTTATGACATTGAAATAACTTAAGTGTCACTAAATGAACTTATAATAGCACGTACAATTTCTAAGAAGACTGAAATCGATTACTAATTATTATATAAGACCTGTGTAAAAAGTTCTAAATTGTGATAACTTAATGCATAGAAAAATATTTCGGGATTTGCTTCCAATACTGCTTTTGAACGTTACCTCAGAATAATTAATATTTAAATAAGAGGTTTCGAGTTTTGCGTGCGAAATGCCGCCAAACATCGGCTCAGATTTAAGTGTAATTACTTGGAAGTTAGCAACTGTGGTTTAGAGCCGTTGGAGCTATGAGCGGCCATATTATTTCCGCATCCCAAGCCCCATATAATAAACTGTTTAGCGTCTAATATAAGCATAACCTCTTATATAACGATTCATGAGACTTCATATTAAAGCTATACACATTTCGTGTTTGATTCTAAGTTTTCTTTTAAATATAAACGGGAAATCAGCTGGCATTTTTCTAAGATCAACTCATCCAGTTCACAGTGGGCTAGATCTCTGACAGTCTCTAAATATGAATGTCAAGTACCTAAACGCGAAAGGGTTAAGGGTAGATTTGAAGTTTTTAATGAGGAGCTAAAAGAAACGTAAAAAACCTGTCCCATTCGTACTAACCTAGAGAGGCAATATCGTTAATCAACAGGTGCTTTTAGCTAAAGACGAGATACTCTAGCGAGCATATTTGTAGCTCAATGCTATGCTTCAAATTTATATACCGTCTATATAAATAGTCATCACACATATAAAGGAGACCTACGCCTAACGTAGTGTGTGTGCTCGTACACAATCAGTCAGTTTTTTGCGTTCTACAATGTAGATATTCAGCTAGTTGAGTTTTTATTCTTTGGTTTGTTTAGTTAGAAAAAAGTTAGTGAAAATGTTTTCCTTATTATGTTAAAAAAAAAAAAACGAGTTTTTATTGCGAGAAATGAGACCTACAGCATTAGTGTAAGTCGCTCATAGAAGCATAAATTACTGAGAGACGCTCTCAAAAATGAACTTTGTACATTTAAGTAATATAAAGGTACTAATATGTTTCAAAGAAAGTTTTTTTAAGTTTAAATTATAACCTATCGGCAAAAACTTATTTTTCACGTTACAGGTCAGCTGTACGTGGACCGAGTATAACGACAATTTGGGACTATTGTGCAAAATCTTGTGTTATATACATTCATTTCTAGAGAAATGCTTTCCTCCCACCTACGCCTACTACACAGAGGAAGATTTAGTCAAGATTGTACAATTTTAAATGCGCTCCTCAAGCAAATACTATACTTGACAACATATTAACCCTTACACTAGAAAACGTTTCCTGTAGGTAGTTAAGAGTTCGACATATTCTAATTTGACTGCAAAATTTAAGTCACCGTAAAGGTCAGCTCAGTTATCGACCGAGTGTAGCTCAAAAAGCCAATCATCTCAACTTTGTACACCGACAATTAAACACACAAAAAAAGAGGTGAATCATCTATACATGAGGTCACGCCGAACCGAAGAGCAATAGATGCATTGCCTTTCTCACCAGGACATAGGACACAAGAGTTTACGACTATTGGTAGTACATCGCTTTCTTCCAGCCTGTTTCTTTAAGCCCTTGAGTTGCTCTTGACTTCAACAAACGCTGCCATGTACCAAGTATATATATAAAAAAAATTATTTTTACAAAGCCTCATGCGAGTTAGAGGAACCCGTTGTAGGTTTTTTTTTTTTTTTTTTTTTTTTTTTTTATATATAGCTTAATAAGCGCTTTCGAATGTAGTCCAAGCAAAAAATAAATCTTTTCTAGAATCTTTTTCTATTCACCCATTTACAAGTACGTATATCTGTAACCTCCGTGTCGATAGAAAAAAGCCTGTGGGACTCATTTACGCATATCATTGGCGCAATAGCATCCTCTACTACCCACAAATAAGCCAAGCTGACGATTCTCTTTATTTTAACTTCAAAAGCAGCGAGAAACTCGACGGGGGTACATTTTAAAGTGGTCGATCACTGAGCAGCCGATTGTTTCCACGGAAATCGTCCACTGGGTGATCAGTTCCGTCTACAGGGTGTTTCAAAAATTGCGCAACCTTGAGAAAAATCGAGCAAAATTTCGCGGCTCCAAAAGCAACGTTTCATGAAGTTTACTTCCACTCTGTGTTTTATGAATGCTATCTCAAATAGTGATATGTACTCTAGAGCAAAAAATAAGGAAAACTATCTAGACATTTTTTCTAAAAAGCATGGAATTTCGTTTCAAATCGTGAGGACTGTTCAAAATTTGAAGCAGAGCTTAATGTCTATTAAGACAGACTTTCCATGACCGTTTTTGACTTAAAATAAACAAAAAAAAAAAAAAAAAAGATTATCTATGAAACAATTTAACTGCTTAATTTTCTCACAGTCGTGCGTAGCTTTTCACTCACTGTATATCAAGGTGATCATGCAATTTGCTTTTTGCATGTTTTCTGAAAATGGTGAAGTTTATAAAAAGGAAAAAAAAATATAAAAATATAACTTGTTAACAAGCCCGATACGCACGCGGTAGATTTAGACACAAGCTTTTCTTCTATGGAAAAGGGGTCTGAAACCCGTGTTATTCAACCGACCGTTGTATGTCTTGTACTTTTCCACAAATTTAAGGGTTTATGATACCTCTGGCCGGTGTCTGGCAATTTTTATCTCTAAATGCGACTTGAAAAACATTCAAGCTCACTTGTTTTATTTTCGAAATCCTAAAAACTAAAAGCAGTTAGAAAAGTTCAACTGCACCCGTAAGTGCGCTGTGATCATATCAACAAATGATATTTTTGAAGTTCTTCGACGACCCGACGACTGCTCTTAAGGTAGACGAGAAAAGCCCAGAAAGTAATAACCCTGTATATTTTCATGAGTAAGTGTTCGTCTGTCCTGATTTACGTACTGCTTTCAAAGGTATCGATGCTTCATAGCTGCCCGGTTCTCTTTTGAGATTTTTTCGAAGTAGAAGTGTTTTTTTTTCAACGGCTTTCATGATCTGTTTCTGTTATTCTATAGCACTAGTAAATGTATGTATTTCTTGGCAGAGCCTTCTGTAGAGTCGCCGAATCGAGCCGATCGCTTTTTGACTATAAATGACAGAGGTGTGAGGTGGCAGAGTGTCTAGAAGCTAGAATTAAAGCTTTCTTTGTATGATGTTTTTTATTTTTCTCGCTTGAAACAAAGACGAACACTTGTTAGTATTGATGTCGCCGGTCGGCTACGCGCGTCGAGTCGGTGGAACGATGGACAACAAGCTATAATAAAAAGCGGTTTCATAATGATGATAACAACAGCAGTTTCAGCAACGGCAATTTCTGACAATCGGAAAAAGTAAACGGAAGAAGATTCTAATCGTATCCGTTCGAAGTTGGCTACTTCTATCTAAAATGATCATGATGGCTTACGAAGTGCATAGAAAACTGTGGCCTTTTTGTTTTTTAAACGACCACAAAATATTATCTGCAGATAGGAGAGTGATTTGCCTATCGTATGCTATTAGTGATTTAATTAGTGCGATATTTAATGTAACGCGTAGTCGTTTTAGGGGTCATTCGACCCCGTTTGTCCACATTCTAAACAATATCGAAGACCGCTTGCAGACAAAGTATTTGTTAGCTCTGTTGTTTTTCTTATCTGCACTGGCATGCGCTCGAAATGGGCTGGGGTCACAGTGTGCCGACAAATGGATCTTTTCCATCAAATGTTTGTAATTTGTCCCACAGAGCATTCTGTTGCACATGGCACTCAAGGTCTGAATTCTAACAACCGTATTAGAGCTCGAAGTTTCATTATAAGGCTCATTCCAGAAGCAAACGTTGAAATGTATTTTTTTTAATGTAACCATTATATTATTCCGATAATTATTAAGTTGTTCCATAAACTATTAGCTTTATTTTGCGCTTACAACGTAAATCAAAGGCCTTGGCGCTTTCGAAATTTCCCAAACAGGGTCACCACTTTCATGGCGCCTACAGTGAACCTGTCTAGTCGACCTAATGTATGCAAAATAGAACCAGTAGGTGGCTGTATCAGTAATCAGTGTAATCAGTAGATGGCTATCAATTAATTACAAACGATGCTTAGTTTAGTCTGCCTTTACCTACCTGATAGTATGAAACTAGCTTTTTAAAAACGTTCACGTACCCCACACAAGAAGCTTCGAGCGCAAGATCATGAGATAATAGCTAATAGCCTTTAAGTTACACCTGTCTAGGGCCACGCCACAGTCCAACTGGTGAGATACTAACAAAGACATTTGAACTTTCTGAAGTTGAACAATCGTATTTTAACCCTTACGCTTAGCTTAGTCTGCGTGACCATCTTGTTCGATCGAAATATATGTACGTGCTGAGAATCGTTGGCAAAACGAATGCCATGTAAGGCGTGTAACTAAGAAACGATACTGAGATAGATAGCCATCTCGAAACATTCCTCTGCGTCTGAGCTCGCGAGTACGTCAACCTATTCCCATTGCAAGCTTTTAGAAACATGATGTAAAGTAATGCCTTTTCGTTTAGTCTTATTGTGGTCGAACTCACACGTTTACTACCGCTTCACCTAAACGCATCCCGATACACATTGGACGTTTTGCCTATATGATCGCACTATATTACCGCAAAGAGTAAACACTTTAGAAAAATACTAGCGTTACACACGCTCGTCTAAAATATGACAGTGACAGGCATATCGCCAACCCGCGGCGGACTTAAGCATATCTCATTGTAGAATATACGTTAAATATGGCGCTAGAGCAGGCGTCATGACGACAGTGCGTCCGATAGGTACGGAGCAGCGCACTTTCCTTTTGCAGATTTCTACGATTTTTCATCCGAGTATTCGTAGCGGCCTCTGCACAAGGTTTCTTGAGAGGCCTCTTATCGTTAGCGGAGCTAGAGGAGACGATTCTGCATTTTATTTCGTTCGCCAAGAACCTATTGTTTCCAATTGCTGCGTAGAAAGCTGCCTGATAGCTAGAGCGTTTAACGAGTAAAAATTAAGTAAGGTAAACAGTCGGAAGCGACAGGTTATGTATTGGCTTGTAAAAGTAGATACTGTTCTTATATGGGCACAGTTGGACAAAGCGGGCTTATCATTGGCTATAAAAGACGAGCTTATAGTGTCACAAAACTGCTCTGCGTAATGTACGCTATTGATCAGACTAGTCCGTATTATATCTTCACAGCGAATTAGCACTGCTCCTCCTACGATTGGCTTAAGAAAATGAATTAAAAAAAAAAACACTATATAGACATTCAAGTAGGTATTAGATTGCGCCGAACAATTATATGACTGTACCTCTAACGTGTAGTTTGGAACCATGGAGACTTCATTTCAGATAAACGATTAAATCGCCGGCTGTTGGCTACGCGTTAAGTATATATTCCATTGGTTCTTAACATTTATTGGTTTGCTTCTGAATGGAGAAGGAACACAATAGGCTGATGGTGAAGATCGACTCGTTGAAACGACAATCATAAAGTACTTTGCAACGTTTCGCTCGAAGCTTATCGGTCCTGCTAATTTAAGGGAAAAATAATTCCTACACGGCCAGTGCTCAAGGTTTTTTCCTTTAGCAGCACACGGAATACAACTCAGGCTGTGTGGGTTTCACTCGGGTGTGTCAATGACAGGCTGTTCTGAAGGACAACCGACTGCTTGTAAAGATGGCCGGAAAGGTCCGTTTTTAGGATAGCTAATCATAACTGAGTAGACATCATGCTTTTAGAACTATAGGTATAGATATTCAAAGCAAAACAAGGTATCTTTATTTAGAAACTGTACATGATTCCGGCCTGGCTATCAGATACAGTGATATATTGTGCGTTTACAAATTGGGTAAAGATTGGTTCACTACCAGTTACTCATTGCATATTCAAAATGTAAATAGATTGTATCTAATATATTATATATAACCGAATATATACATATTTTTGTGTGCGTTAGGCGACCAAAGATCGTCTGCATATCAGTCGAATGTAAACTTCAGATATTTTCCGCAAATCTAAGGAGAATACGACGAAGTCCGGTGTTCTAACTTTTCTTCTTAATATTGCATTGTTCAGTGCTAGCTCCCGGCGAAAGCTCTGATTGCCCTATAATGTAAAGTCATATAAAGGGTCAATAATTGCTCGGTTTGGTCTCTGATACTATAGATGACTGTATAAATATATTTGCTGGCTAATAAACTTACATTTCGAAAACTTTCCAGCCTACACTGAATGTTTAACGTTTAACATTATGGCTCGTGTTGCAGGCAAAAAAAACCCTCAACTGGTAAATGTGACTAAAAAAAAGAACGGTCAAAGCAGCTGTAGTATCAATAGGTAGCAATTTACCTACGTAATATATAATGCATATCATATTTCTTAACATAATGTTCGTAAGTTTAAAATTTGACGGGAGCGTGAATCCCGTTGCCGGACTCAAATCGGCATAGTCCAGCTTCGCTGTCCAAAACCCAGTAGTTCAAGGCACCGCAGAAGGCGGAGTGTGTGCCCGTATGAATGAGCCTGATTTAGTTTAAATTGGCGCCTAATTTAGTTTAAATTAGCCTAATCTGAACCATTTAGCCGAATCATATCATAATGAAACTGCTGAAAAAGTTGGGAATTGATTGATACGTACCTATATACCTATAGCTTTCTTGTTGGAAACGAGCGTATGCTGACCTGCTAAAGATGGTTGTGTGCGTGAGTTCCCAGAAGTGCCAGGATGAGCTAACTGGCTAGCGACATTTAAGGACGCTAGATGTCCAAGAGCAGCAAGAGGTCCAGCAAAAGGTGCTCCCAGCGAGAGCCCCAAACTTGAGTCTAGAAGCTGAAGCTGCAGCGGCAGGCCCAAGTAAAACGAAGACACTAAGGTATTTCAAAATGAGAACAAGCTGATTTAGAGAAAATATGATTGTAGTAAATAAGCTGCAGGAAAAAGCAAAACTTTAGACTAACCGGAACCGCCTACTGGAGTACTGCTATCTGTCTTTGTCATACCTATTTTGAATAGGCCGTAACGTTGTGTGTGCACGCAAATATTTACGTTATAAGCATATAAGCACTAATGAATTACCACCAATGCATTTCTGTTTCCTTAACTGAACTGCGCTGGATCATAAAGCAATGTTGACACGTGATCGAAATATAGACCCATTGCTGTCGTATATAAGCCATAACACTGCAATCCATAATTTATTTTAGGTACCAAACGGAACTTTCCAAACCCGATGATTTTCTACCAGACGCTAACTTCTACTAGATGGATTTCGAATAGTTTCACGAACTTTGCTTGGCTGTTACCATTAGCTGCAATAGACTGTGGTCAATCATTCTCTATCATCACTCTAGCTAAATCACACAATTAAGCCTCGTTTCTGTTTTACGGTCCTCAATCGAACGTAGATCGTTTCACTATTTCTAACCGATGACGTCTACGTTAACCCTCCAATAGTTCTGTCTATAAAGCCCGTTTGATTCTCACTACGATGAAAAAGGACCCCGTTTGGCAACAATAAACCAACCTTCGTCAGCCATCGTCATATAACGAAATACATGTACATGGATAGTTTTGATCTGTTCACTTATCTGTAGCAAATAAATATTCAAATAGAAATTGAAAGGGATATTAACGAAGCTGACTTTGAACTGATCAAACACAAAGGTCACCCACCGAGTCCATCGGCTCTTTCGGCCCCACGATACATATGCTTGCTATATAAATAAAATTAAATAAAGTATGAGGCAGATATGAGATGTTGTTAAAAGAGGCCCATGTTAATTACATCGTATATCGTCGTCAGTTATTCAACAACATTTAATTGACAAACCCATTGTTGAGCATTTCTATCAAATACACCGATCGGCGGACGATGATGCCTCCGTGGTGAGCCTCTTTGTTCCAGTCGGGATATTTCTGTAGTGTATTGACTGTGAGCAACCTAGTTTGTTGCTAGTCGTTGCCTTTTCTGCTCAGGCAAACGACGAACCGATCGTTTCTCTTCCTTCTTATAGCTTCAAAACCAAAATACGTCGATAACGTCGCGTTTCAAGCGTCCGCTTACCAGCCTGTAGGCCACTTCCTTCGATATTTCTGTTCCATTTCAACTATTTCCATTTTCCACCGATGCCTTCACTATCAGCGTGATCTTCTTGATGTTATTCTGTAGTTGCTACCTGCCGATGAATCGTCGCCGTCGGATTCTTCCGTAAAACACGACCCGATGCTTTCCTAACAACTATAGTACTTTCGGCTTACACTACTCTAGAGCGTTCTACAGGGAAAGAAACCATCTCGTGAGTGGCTTGAGTCCGCCAAAGAAGGTGGCAACTCCAATTTTGAGTCGACAGAAGCGTCCGCGTTAGGGAAGCCTATGCACGAGCTAGAATGCGGAGACCAAATGCGCTAAGTGGGACCGATCAAGCGGCCAGCGTCCGTGCGGCCCGTATCAAGGGAAACAGCGCCGTCATCACGACGAGGAAAGGAACAAGGGACACACGAATTTCAAAGAAGGACAAGCATTCAAAGTTAACGGCATAGACGAAACCAGAAGCAATAAAGGGTTTCGCCGATTCGGTCTTTTATTCGAAAGAAGACCAAACAGACTCTGATGCTGCTGGTTGATGGTCATCAGCAAAACTGACGCTGGCTGCTGCAGAAGTTGGCAAATAAAATAGAGTAATGATGAAAACAAATCAATTAGCCGTCTAGAAACAGAAATACGGTACGAACGAAGCCTCGACGAACGTCAGGTACCAGTGATGTGTTAGCTGGTATTGAATTTGTCTTACTGCTTTTTTGTTTATTTGTCATTGTCCCGTGTTTATGCATTGTTTGCTTGATTTTCATTTATTGTTTATTAACGCAAAAATTAAGTGTCTTCTGCCAACGTGCCGCATCAATTTTATCTTTCATTTATTGCTAATACAGGCATCATATGTGAATGCGATATTTTTGTTATGACTGCTTATACCTGAGAAGATTGCCGGGCCGGAATGCTTGACAACGAACTGTATTCGAACGTCTGTGATATTACGTAAATTAAAATTATCACTTACATGAGGGTGACGAGAAAGTTGGCCCAAACGATGTCGTTGGCTCTGAGAAAGTACTCCTTATAGACGATAGTGACGATGATACTGTTGACCGTTCCTGATTTGAGCCAGCCTGAAGAACCAGAGCAGATCAGTAAAACAAGCTAGCTTCGGGAACCCGATCATCATTATCACCGTCAGTGCATATTTTACCCAGTAAGAGCTTCGACCTGTATATTGTAGACTGTTGCGCACCCGGCGGATAACACAAACTTTTAAATATGAATTTTGTTTGGCGTTAAAGCTTGACCTGCAAAAATTGCTACGTCAGGGCTGAAGTACCGGCTGTTTTTACTAACCTTTCTAATCTTCTCCCTGATGTCGATGTGTTAGATACCGTTTGAGAGGTTTGTTTTTATACAAAGTGATTGTCTTGCTTATGGCACGATATTTAAGTTTGGCCTTAAACTTCATAGACGAGCGTCATTTCGGAAAAAATATGTCGACTAACAAAGCTCCAAAGTGATCCAAAATATTTGCTGCGCGTACAGTGAAAGCTCCATGGGTAAGATGTAGATATAGGGGCATTCGACAATTACTCTTCTCCAGAAGCGGCTCAAGATGATCCCCATTGAACTTAGTGCAGCTTATTTTGGATTTAAGGTACAATTTACCAAACTATTTTTCGGTTGAAATCTCAACCACAGAGTGCTCGTAGGAGGACTAGGCCGCAGCTAGACCGGATTAAAGCATCTTCGAAGGCGATTAAAAGGTGTCGAAAACGCCGTCCTTTTCTATTCATATTGTGATCCTGCCAATGACTACGGGCTTACGAAGTAACAGTATATAACATACAAGTCAAAAGTTGTAAAAGAACAACAAATTTCATTAATTGTACACTCTGTACGTTAAAGAAACGACTAGTGGCTGCTATTTTAAACCATAAACGTAAATCGAACGCATTGTTGATGCATAAAAAATCGGTGCTTTCTATAAATGTCCCCTAAAACGAGCCCCTATTTCACCTTAGTTTCCATCTTAGCTCACCCCAGGGTATTTAATTTTCACTATATACGGCACCATTTTGCCGGTCAGATGTTCTTCTAGGAACTACTTTGATCTGTGTTCGGTCGTTTCGGAGCACGGTGTTACGTGGTTCGGCATCAGCACCCGTCGCGATCGTGCATTGTTTTCTGGAATCGTTGACGCATGCCGTGTTCCACACAGCCTCATAAAAAAAACCGGGCATCTACGTTTAAATGTGACCCGTCTTAGTTTTATTTGACAATTATTTAACTATTGTCTATTATGTGTTTACTAGTTGACCTAGCTCTCGATTTGAAAAACACTGCGTCGCTTCATCAAAGCTATTAGGATCGTCTCACTTACGCGAAATTGATATTGTAGATGACGAGCCGTGTCCACCTGTTGTTGCGGAGGCACATGTTGGTATCGTAGACGGCGATGCAATTCCTGCGGATGGTTTTTTTGGTTGGTACTATTTGACTGGACTCGAGTTGTAGCGCCTCTCCTGGAGGTGCTCTCTGAACTCTGGAGTCTTTTCAGTTTACCCTGTACCTGCTGCCTTTGGAGAATTAGGATACAGTTCTCGCATTTGCAGTCTCTAGAGCAGAAACGAGTGGAAGAAATTAAGTATAACTTGACAGATGGACAAAGCATCAAGACCTGAAAAAAAACCTTCTTCAAGCCGATCAAGGCGTTACAACAACAATGAACGAGAAGCGTTACTTGATTGTTAGCGATCGTGTAATGTACACAGCGTCGAGTCGTACCATAGACTGCTTCTATGCTGCACAAACACACGAATTACGGTACGATTAAGACTGTTTATAATGGCCATGTATCTTACCTGTATTTGCACTGGTCCTTATGATCCTTTACGAGGTTTTTTTCGTTGTGGTTTCGGCATCTCGCGCAAAGACGTACGCGCGCTGGCATCTGGGGCGATGGCATTGTCAAGACGATTAAAGCCGAAAATATTTTAGAGATATTGGAAAATTTAGACATTTCCTCAGCTAACCTTAAGCGATATGTAAAATAAATCGAAGCACTAAGGACGTATTTCTTAATTATAAGTCGGATAATAGATTTTAGCTGCTGTGAAATGTCTTTAGAACGGCTGGCGCATTGGAAAGTTGCTCAAACATCGGAAACAAAGATGTCAAGCAAACAACGTCAATAATTCAACAACACTTAATAAACTTAAAAAACAATAACAAACATTTAATCAAATAGAAGTATTCGTTTTCAAATTGGCTCGCTTAATAAGTTCGTCGCTTTCTAGGATAGCGACAAGCAGGGGGCGCAGTACTCACAGTTGGGCCTTTTTGCTTTTCTTTGATACGTCTACAAGGTACTGGAATATTCTAGAAGACCCAATTCACGCTATTGTACATTGGCGCACATTCTGAGTATCGGACTAATTGTTATATTGTAAGCAAAAACGTATAGCACGCACGACCCAATGAACTCTTAGTCAAGAAACTTAGAAAAACTTAGTCATGAAGAATACTTCATTCCTCGAATTATCATTATAGCGTTCAGCATGTACGTAACTTTCCGCCACTTCAATTTCATTCGTTTCAGATATATTATACTTTAGTGTGTCACACGTAAGAGGCAATTAGCTATCTAACGAGAAATGAATCTGAGACTGTCGTCTTAAATGCGAAATGATAGCAATACACCCTAATTCGATTCGGTCTTTCCGGAAACTGCTCAGTGCTAAGTTACGTCGGCGGAAGTCCCTTTCAGATGTTACAGCGTTGGTACATGTCAAAATTAAAAAGCTCAGCTCGATTTCCAGCTCAAATATGGTGAAGACTAATTTAAGTTTGTATTTTTAAACCATCTAGAAGAAATGTATTAGATTAAAGCCCTTCCGCGCGGGATCTCTATGAAAGGCATAGCTCTCTTCTTGACACGTGTGCCAGACTGAGCAATTAAGTAGGTAAATAAAGAAAATAATATAAAGCTACGATTTTCGGCATCTTGTTGGTGCTCTTTTTTGGCAAGAATTATTCTCTGCGCTTCATCCTCTTTGTCTGCCTTGTCGCGTCTTCGCAGTTATCATCAGTCCGAGGTAGAAATCCAATAGGTCATGTAAAGCAGCTTTCATTATAAACCCCCGCTGTCTCTCATGGTTCGCAGCCCATCTGTCTCCTTACAGAAGGCTCACCCCGTCGTTTAGCAGGTCTGCCGAACAGGGATCCATTTTGAACATACCAGCGCACGTAGCCGGCCAATAGATACGAAATGTTCACTAAATGTAAACACAATTCACAGCATAAAGAAAAATACGAGTATTTTCGGTCAAGAAATGGCCGAATGAGTAGTCAGTATTACAAACTTTGGTATAGTATTTATGTGGAACTATCAAATAAATTTGCTTTGAGAGCCGGTTGGAAGAGCGGTTAAGGAATTCAGACCAAATCACCAACAGTTTCTCTATCAGCATACGCTTTTATACTATTTTTTAGCCTTTCTATTCGGAGCGGCCCCAACCTGAGATTTTGTTCAAGGCCTCTATCTTTCGAGAAGGTCAGACTGCTGTGATATTGTTTGCTCTGGCCTAGCAAGAGACACGTTTTGTTGTCCAGCTGCCAGTAGGAAACATGGAAGAAACGTCAAATAGCCATAAGTTATGGGCTACAATCCGCCACCAGGCTGAATACTATACACTTGTCGCTATACATTACGTTGGAACTTGAGTATCGCTAGTAATAATAGTTCCATCTAAGAAACCAACTTTCAGATACGAAGTAGCATTCACACGAATACCACCTTCTTTAAGATCAAACGATTCGAAGTTAGACAAAAGTTACGTAATTCTATGTCTTAGCTGGTCCACTCACTCTGTATTGAAGCATGACTAGATCTTTTAAAAACATATATATATTCGTTCTTAGCTTTTCGGCCAGACGGTACGTGCTCTTCATAGCTTGCATGCCCGAAGCAGTCGAAAAGCAAAAAAAAAAAAAGCTGCTGTTTATGACGGTAAACTAATAACAATTGTTCAGTAGCCGTTTATCTAAACAATTTACTCAAACAGACGCGTAGGAAAAAGCACGTCTCAATACTTTATGTTGAAATAACCCCTGGGTCTTTTTAGACGAATTTAGCTTGCGAAAGGGAGCTTAGCTAACACATCTATGGATATATGTTCGAGATGAAGAGATAGTCCAATCTAGGATCTCGTTTTTGCATTGATCGCACCGACGGCTGTCACAAACGAATGCCCATTACTCTGACTAATTCCAGTTAGATTGATTGATTGATTTTACGAAGTCCAACGTCCTGTTTACCACTTCCAGATAACTTGTAAAATTGAACTATTATTTAGGAATATACAAATCGGTAAAATTAGGATATTCTAGTTAACGTCATATTTATAACGAACTAAGCGTCGCCGACAATTAACCGCTGGTTGTACTCATCTAAAACCCACGATAATTAAGCGACCGTGGGTTATAGATAGGCAGATTTTTATTGTTTTACAAGCAAATACATTTTTATTTGTTTATACTATCTATTTGAAGGGCTATCCACTGTATGGGTTGTACTCGAAGTTGCTATTATCCATTATTTATCCTTAACTGAAAAGTTAGTCCTAATAAATCGAAGCAGAACGAACGTACTTTTCTTGTTGTCCTACACCCGTACAATAGTATAATTACTATCAATATAAAAAAGTTACGCTTTTAGTCACAGTATTATTAATACCACTATTATTACGGTACCCATTACTAAGATGATCATTCTAATTAGAAGGATAAACTATAATAAGTTGAGGGGGTTCTATATGCTAATAAAGTACGGCTACGCGGCACACCTAAAAATCGACGCTCTCCCTCTGAAACATGGGAAGTTTCGCAAAAACAAACAGACGTGTCAAAACGACACAGACAGACAGTGTTTTATCTTCTGCCAAATAGATAAACGAAAATAAACACAAAAATAATATGAGAATCACTATTTCAATGTTCTCATGACTTTCTAACCCTTACATCGTATGGTCCCAAGAAAAAAAAAGTATAATTATGCTTTTTTATCGTGTGAATCCAACCACCTTTACTGTCCATATTATTGTTGATTCTATCAATTCTCGCCATATGAAGCACTTTGAGTCTGTATATAAACATTTCACCAATATACTTCTCACACTAAATATTTGTTTTTAGATTAAACAAAAACGTATGAATCCAGTTTAGCTTATTCAGTCGTTTTTTACATTGTCCATTGTGTTTGTGAATCTGATACTTCTGAGACACTGAATATGTTACGGTTTATATTCTAGCGCAATGTGATCTAATTTTGAACTATTTAAATGGTGCCTACATATTCTCTGAGGCACGTAGGGCCATCGCACTCCATGGTACTACATAAATACGTTTAAAACAAAAAAATAGCTTTTTTTCTATTCGTTCAGGTTTATCGTGTGTGTCTTAAGCATCGATCTTTTGTTGTTATTGTCGGTGGAAGAAAATTTTAGTGAACTTTGGATGAAGAAATTCAAAACTTTTAATTATGAACCATCATAGTATTTAGGCAATAGCGTAGCTTATCTATTCGTATTTAAAATAAGAATTTCAAAACTGAGCTTATAGTTCGTCACCACCGAAAGATCTCGTATGTATTCAGCGACTGTGTGTACATATGCGAGAAACGTTATTAGTTGTAGGACTTGGTAGGACCACTCGGCCCTCGTGAGCATTCACACAGCTGTAAGGCTCAACGTTGTTGGTATAAAATGTGTCCTTTATGACAAAATATCTGGGATGACAATAGAGATTACGCAATTAGCTTAATTCCGAACCCTGAAAGCATCGAAAGGGCGTCCTGAGGGGCTGTTGAAGGCTACGTTAGTCTAGAACAGGTATATGTACTGTTTGCCAAATTTCCTTTTGTCAGTTTGTCCATGTTTAAAAGGCCAAATTTACTAGGAAGAAAGCTCCAAGGGTGGTAAGATCAGGGTATATATCGTCTTGAGCCGCATATATACATCATGTGGTTGCAGAGCTGCTTTCGGTGGAACCATTGTAATTCGAGGAAGCTCTGAAAGGCTCATTAGGCGGGTATCGATTAGTTTTAGTGTTTTATTTCAGTCTCTTTTTCCTATTCAAAAACGAGACGTTGCAAGACTTATAAAGCCGTAGGCGCGTATTTGTTCAGTATTTCATCTGAGATAACTCGGCCATGTCTATCCACCGAAATGTCGTCATCCCATAGCCGGTATCCTCTAGCGCTCGGTGCGTTTCTGTTATAAGTTGTAAACCGTTTACCAGATAGTGTTTCATTTTCTTCAAATGGACAAGCAAATTGGTGCATCGCGAAGGTCGCGTCGTACGAGTCCGCGGCTTCAAGCCTTCAAAAGCACAACTCTTGCTGTCCTAAACATCACGGTTTGAGCTGGACCTAGTCCTAGCAGAGTTCTCTCGGGAGGCTTCCACCAGCAAATGCTATATGGTTTATAATCTCACACTAACTGAGCACTAACTAAGTACAAGAAGTTCTCTTCGCTGCGGTGAGAAATATGAGTGCGGATCTCGCTGTTATTCGAATGCTATCCAAACATACTGAATTTATACAGCACACCTACCTCATCTAGCAAAGACCGCTTGCCACTCCCGAACTCGCTAAACGTCTTGCCCACTTCACTATAGCAACGGAAGAAGTGTTTCAACACTCGCATAACTTCTTTAGGATCTTTGACGCCTCTATTCTCCACCGATCATCAAATATAACAAAGTATAGGCCATTCCTTATAAATATCTTTGCGCCCACCTGACGTCCTATAGTTATTTCGGTCCCTTCGCGGGTCGCTCGAACTCTTCTGCCCATCGCTTGCGTTGCCTCAATTAGCTAGTCCTTCAAGACATTCTTGTACGATTTTGACCTCGTCGTCAGCCTCCCCGCCGCTGCCACCAAAGTAAAGCGAACTGGTTTACCTTTGTCGTTAGCTGACAGGAGCGTGCGCCTCGCACCTGGGAGCGTTCTGCATCTAAATAGCCATAGATGTTGTTACGCAGCTGGTTCTAGCAGGTATTTTTATGTAAGTCATCCAGCCGAAGATGTGTACAATCATCGAATGCCGCATATATTAAATAAGACATGAACTTTTGTGCAGCTAGTTGTGTATTAGGTAAACAACGCTGTCAAATATTCCGTATTGCTCACCGGGTACATTTTTGTCATTACGTGCGGCGTCTGCATTAGATTTTGTATAATATTACAAACCAATCCGGCAGACTTTGAAATTCTGTAATTTTTTAAGTAGTTGGGTCAGAATGATAACTTTTTGATATGTGTTAGAGGTCCTTTACACAGTGGCAGAACTTCCATCTATTTACCATTTGCGTTTCCATATGCAATTCATTTGTCTACGGTTTCTCTAGGCAAATCAATAATGAGGTATACTTACCCACCAATATGCTTTTTTAGGGCATCGAAAGCCCGTAATCACGCAGACTTAGATCAGAAAAATAGGCAGGTTAAATTCGTTGAATATTTCTTTACTTAAGTTCAGGTAGAAGTGTGGCAATGAAGATCCAACTGCCGTGCTAACAGCCCATGAGCCCCTTGGGGAACTCGAGGTAGCGAACCGCGTTCGTTGTTTTACTTTTGACGAGGATCCTATAGTGATGCATGTCTCTGATGTCTATCGCATGTACTACCATCACTTTACGTCCGAAGTCACTTAACGTTGTCCCCGAACTCGACTTTCACCAAGGTGATCCCACACCCTCAACTGGTCCGTCTCCAGCTGGTAGAGTAGGTCGAACCATGCCTCATCTATAGCGGCCGTATGCTTCAAGGGGATTTTTTCTTATATTACATTTTGTACACTTCACGGAAAATACGCCATACGCATGTACGGCTGGCGTGAAGTCAATTCACGGAAGACCCATTCTTTATTCGGTATCTGCATTTTTAGAGCTCTGGTTACAGTTTTGTCACACGTTAAACCTGAAATGCCACTTTCGGTTGACCAAGCCCATAAACTCCATAGTTTACTTCCGTACAGCACCTTGATTGCCGCAGCGCTTGTTTGCTGGTCTATTGGGTTTTGACGTCGGGTCACCTCCTCGCTTATTTTTAACAACCTGAGCTCCACTCGTCAAACGTTTGCATCGTTCACGGTCTACCTGTCTAATGCCTATACCAATCTTCGATGGACTTCCGCAGCGTTGTGGCCTATAAGGACCTGACCAGTAAGCGCTTATTTTTGAGACTAAAAGATCTTGTTCCTTCTAAGTTTAATCCTTTTGGAGTAAACTAAACCTGAGTAAAAACTGTAATATTTACGAGTCAAATTCTGTTTGTTAGCGTTGTATATAGTTCCAAAGTTATTCTGTTTTAGAGTGCGTCGAATCCGTTTGCAATAGCTAATATAAGAGCGGTTGAATAAGTAATGCGCAATCGTACAAAACGCTTTTCGTCTAGCCAAGTCAAAATGATAAATCGAGAAACTCATTAAAACGTTTTTCCATGCTTACATACCTACATATAGATATTATTAGATAAACCAAGAGTTTACCTTAGATTTAAAATAATCGAGAAATATTATAAGTTTAATCTAACTTCCCATCAAGCATGACCCCAACAACATGTATTCATACGCGACACTAATCGTCCTACCACCCTCTATGTTTTCCATCAAGCAGACGGCTGGCTTCCAGCACGAAACGAAGTCTGTCTCTCTGTTTACGGCCGAGCTTCGAATTTAGACCACATCGTGCCCCTAAGATCAGCGTGCAGATACACTACCCACTGTTATGTAATTAAACTGTTATGGAGACTTCCGCATTACTACCCTGGAAAATACCCCCAACGGATCATCAGCAGTGATTAAGTTCTTGCCAAGAACCCAGATGCTTTCAATCAAATTATGTACGCATGAAGTAAATCAGCATTGGTTTACCTATCTAAATTGTAATCTGCCATGTTTCATTAACGATATTTAGTGAACCATAGCGAGTGTATACTTCCGTGGCTGATCTTTAAGAGTAACAGAGGATTGAGTGAGATTTTGATAGACGTGAAAAAAAACCCTTGCGTCTGATACTGGCCATGTTTACAGGGGAGAACTTATATCTCAGAAGACCCAGACACGGGCTTATTTTTTTTATGGATTTCCCGCTTTAACGGTAGCGACATTAAATAACTCCAGGAAAATCATAAGACCAATATAGATAGACCAATAGACCATTCAGATAACTCTCTGATCTAGTCTGAATTAAAAACGTATTCAATTTATGAGCGAATATCTCGGAAGGGTTGTCTAATGCAGTGCTCGCTTAACTGAACGTCCATATGAATAGATTTCCAGTCAAAAGTTTGTTTGTTAGAACTTTGCCATTTTTCGTTGGGTAATACTGCGTAAACATTTATAGCCTACAAGCTCGCTAAATCCTTTTATATCAGCATGCCACTCTTCGGTCTAGCGTACACGGTCTGTTGTCTCCGTTTAACTGAAGTAGTCGATTACCACGCGTCACTCTTGTCGGCTCTAGCCCGACCTCATCATGTTTGTAACCTCAATGTACCAATGTAACCTCAATTTGGTAAATTTCGATTTCTTTCACACCAGCATTCGCTATTTCAACCCATATATAGTTTGTAGCAGCGCATAACTCTCTCGAGGCCTCTACAATAAGTTAACACCAATTAGAACAAAAAAAGTAGTTTGTTCTGATAAACCTTATAGTTTGTTCGTCGGAGCCTTATCAGGATACCGTATAGAAGCTATTTATAAAGCTTACTTTTAGACACTGCTGAGCACCGCTCTTCGTTATTGTCAAAGATTCGTTATATTGTACCGGTAGCTCTGTGTAAAGGCACATTGCCAGGTTGCGCTTACGATTGTAATGGGGTTTTGGCAGGCACATGTTTGTTGCCTAAATTCAAAGGCACAACTTGTGAATTCCGGCTCCTGGGCGTATATGTAACTTGACGAACTGTTTTTATCAACGAACGATTTTTTCGCAGCTCAGTTCAAAGTTGGCCGCTACCAAAGGTACTCACAAGTTCACGTTATTATATTTACGAGTCGTAACGCGGTCCCGATTTTTCAAATCACGAAGGGGTTTAATTTGAATAACTGAAATACAACGACATAACTACAAAAGACTGCAGTTATCGTTTGGCGATACCAATGCTATCAGCAAACGCCAATGTTGCGTTAGTTATATTTTCATAGAGTCATTCTATGTTCTTTCTTTTGAATTTATCGCTTCCTTTGCCGACGTGAACGAACTAACTGATGCAAACGCAAACAAAGAAACACAGAGGAACCAGTCTGCACTTCGTTCACTAGCTTGCCACTGTCTTTCTACGGAAAATGCGTAAAGTACATAATAATCTACGCGTACGAATGTCAGCCCAAAGTAGTTGAGCTGCCGACGAGCAAGGCTGATAGTGTTGATATCGATGGTATAAAGTCTCTATGTTTATAGGCGTTTGCCCGCCCAGTGAACAAATCCCTTCTTTTTAAGTTTGTATGGGTTAGCTAGCGCGTCGGTGCTGCCCATACATACTTCCGTAGCGATTCAAGAGGAAGAGACACTACCTTGCGTCACTTCGGCTCAACAGATCCTCCGTTGTCCGGATAATAGACAGAGATGAAATGTTTAATATTGATTGTGCGTCTTTTCGTCGTCCGTGAAACACTGACTGATACGAAAGAGCAGGTTTGTTGTTTGATTAGGTTTGTGTGCTCGTTTTATAGGCATAAACGAACCTGATGAGAAAAGGACGGAGCCTTCGAGAGCGATGTAAAAAAGCCAGAACGTAGTTGGCTACGTACGTACCTACCTAGAAGTGAGTACAGTGAATGCGGGTGGGACTTTATTTATGTGGCACTCCGACGTCTACGTGCTGAAATCAACCAGAGCCCTTAGGGCTAATTCGTTTTCCTCATGTTTCCCGTAAAAGTCATGTTTCCCACCAAATAATTCGGTTAGAATGAATCGGTTCACCCGAAAACAAGGAAGACGATTGCTTGGACGTATTGCGTTCTTCGTGTAGCATTGCCGGTGTAGAGTGATGCTACCGAGGGTCGAAGTTATAGACGAGAGAACTCAGGGCTAGGTATGTGCGAAAATCACGTGCCAGTTATGTCGAAGTTCAGTATTTGATTTTACCATATTACATATTGAAATGATCGCATGACAGGTAATATGGTTTTCTTTTAAATAACTAGAAAATTGCATTCGTTTGATTTACGAGTTTTAAGCAAAACAGTTGGCTAAAGCTCAGCTCTTAAATGGAAAATTAATTGATATCGACTCGTGCCTAATTTTTATACACCTTTTGGTACGTAGACTTAAAAAAGGTCAATCGAAACATCTAAATTTTGTTTTATCTTTCAGCAGAGAGAAGGTTTTAGACTCATTGGAAAGAAAATAATTGTACAAAAGTTTATTTACCATACTTACCCACTGATCTCGAATATTAGAGAAGATAAACTATTTTATAGAACAGATAGATTTTTATAAAAATGGAAACCTCTGCGAAAATTACAAATGTCTTTATCAGAGTTTTTTCCCCGTTTACATTTATGTAGGTTGCGTATCGATAAATTTTATCTGGCACTCCTGGGAGCAACTGGCTGGCTAACTTATGAAACAGAGTCTGGTGATACTTCGAACTACCGTAGCGTACAAGTTCTTCATAGATACACTCGGTTACTGATGAAACAGTTGAATACATCGAAGGCATTTCGGCCAGCATATAAGGCTGAATAGCCTTAAATAGGTAACCACGGAACCATTAGGTTTGAAAACCATATGTAAATAAGCTGCCTACTACATAACGAGATATTCATCAAGCGGCGCTATTGGGTAAAACTGCGGAGCTGTTTTTAGTGTACTTATTTTTATTAACTATAATCTACTTAATGTCTAAGTATGCAATGCAATAGTAAAAATGCCTCTGTAGAGGCATTTTTAATGACCATCCTAAAGGATCTAAAGTAAGTAGTATTTAAACGAACATATTTAATTTATTTTTTAATTAACCTACATCGGATATAATTACGAAAAGCATTATGTAATTTTTAAAAACCAATTTTTAGCACTTCGATAATATTTATACCAAACTTTTTCCTCACCTCTAAATCTAGCAGTTGCATAGACTTAAATATGGCTGGTGGCACAAACCTAACCCACTGAATTCATCACCCAAAGTTTCTTAACAAACATTCCATAAGCACAAGTATGTCGATGAACAAACGTTTAGCTTAAACTAGCTACGACAGTAAGCTAGACGACATAAGGTTGTAATAAATGCCCCGCTACCTAGCGGCACTATGATCTACATGTGTCGTCAGATTTTAAGACTTACGTTACAAACAGGACCTGAAGAACCGGGAAGTGGGTGCTGTGTAAACAATAAATTTCACTGGCGGTTTGCGTATTCCAGATTGTGCGGTGCTTTTTGTAGGCCTTTCACTCGGATATCTATAGAGTCGTCACCATAATTTGCAAGCTTTTTAGGAGAAATGGTCAAGAAACCTTAGGGCGACCATTGCCAACGTAAGTCGTCAAGCAACTAGGCCGTTTGTCCTCTCGCAGATAGCTAGCAAGAGTTACTCTGGGATACGCATCCACCGCGACCCTGAAGCAACTCCGGTTGGCCACTGTTCGTTTCAGGCCCCGCCCACCATGAAGCCGCCCTCTCCACTCCAGCCGACGATGCCGTTCAACCAGCAAAATCGCCAGATTAACGACCATCGCAGCGATAGGCCATATTATAACGAGCCAATACAATACCATTACAGAGTTACGTGTACCAGCAACATCTACCAATAATCAGCACAAGCATACAAGGCACGCACACCCGCCTCCGACGAAATCGCAGCGATGAGCCGCTGGATAGCGTGCGCGAGCACGGACACACACACACAGACAGATAGACAGACATATAGACAAACGCCTTACGAACCAAGCTTCCGTCGCAAAGTTAATTTCTATATATTGAAGTATGTTTCTATAGTTTTTAAGATCTGCTAAAGTGCGTAGGAGACTTCCGCTAATTTAGTCACAGTTGCACCACTCCGGCTTGTCCCTGAAGTTAAACATAAACGACATACCAGTACGGATTGAATTGTGCTTAATCACAGTCGTATGACACTTTGTATCAGACATAGGCTAGATATTATCAATGCATTTAGTACTGGATAAAAGATATTTGACGTTGTAAAAGACAAATGATAAGTCAGTCCCTACTCTTTATCATATAGACATTTCACAGAACGTCCTCGCAATTAAAGCGCAATAAGCGATAAATCTTCAGACCGCCCCAAGGAGAGCAAACGTTGCATCAAACACGATACCCCAGGCAGACGGTACACTTACTTTTTCACAGCGTTACACTCCGCAGACCAGAAACGAACTCTTTTCTAGTGTGTTGCAAGACGCCCATTTTACCGAAGATAGGCTGCAAAACCCGGACCCGCCCCATTAATCAGCGCCATCCTGCCTCCAATAAAATTATTCACTAATTTAGAAAGCGGACAAAGAGCACTTTGGCATACATGAAGGTAAAATCTGTCGTGTCCGCGATGGGAGAAACCAACCCAATAGAAAAGTGCTATTGCCTTAAGCAAACCACAGCATGGCGACCTTCGTGGAAACGAAATTTTTTTTTGGTTTCAATTTCCAGAAAGTAGGCAAGCCATAAGCAATTTGGCGTCTTGTTGTTATTAACGGCAAAACGGGTAACGTCATCCGTCCGTGCATTTGAATAGCCGTGTAAGAGCAATTTGATAACCGCTCGAGTCGGGCTCATTCGTATTCCGCTGTCTGCTATCTAGCTGGCTCTTAAAGAAAAATGGTTAGAGCTGAATGAAAGTCGGGCAAAATTACATCCCATTAGAGTAGGTGCCGTGACACCTTGCGTAGAAGCTAAATATAATTAGATATATCATTGAGCTCCTTGAGGACCATGGGTAAGTCGTCGATAAGCTTAACTATTGTTTCCTGATATCTGTAGACAGCTACCGCCGTCCCGGACGCCTCACGGATCAAGACATTGAACCAGATCACAAGACAGCCGCAACCAAATGATGCTATGAAGATCTGCCAAAAAACTTAGCTACACATTAACTGGCACTATGTCAATGTCGTGTCCTCTTGAGAGCCATGTTTGATGGGACGCATAACATGAACTTTATTGAACAACATTTGATCCCTGAACAACATCAGTAAAGATTACTCTTCTCGAACAGGTGGAAAACTTACGATCCTGTGGGAACGTTCGCAATAGACGGCGTCGGAAGACATACTTAATAAGCTACTGCTCCCCCTAATAGGGTCTGACGCGCCTGTGCGTAAGGAGACTATAAAAGACACGCCAGATTCTAAATGTAAAATGTGTGCATTATAATTATATAACATCGCAGAGTCGCGAGAAAGCAGATTTTATAGATCTTCAAGCAAATTCCAAGCTTTTCGGAAGTGCTTATTACAGCGGAGTTACAACATTTTAGATTGCGTCTCTCCAAACCAATGAAACTCAACCTAGAAACCCTGAACAAGATGCTCTCCAGAGACCAGAGATTTCTTTCCATCTCGCCTAGTTTTGTTGCCACGGACATTGTATATAGAAATCGTGTATATTCACCCGCTTTGGGTATCAACAGCGCTATGCTATTCTATAGACACTATGGCAAGAGAGCTGAGTTTCGTAGACAGTCATCCACGGGGTCTCTAATGAAAATAACGAATTATTGAACAGACGACCCAGCACCGTCTCTGCAGACGCGTGTACGCCAGGAGTTAGAGTAAACTTATTTGGAAGTGATTTGAAACCTCCCTCCCCCGGATAGCTTCCGATGGCTAATCCATGTAAACACTCAGAGATCCTCCTGTCTTGCCACGTGCGTACCATCTTATGGTACTCTCTCTCTCTACTTAAATGTTGTCAAGAAGCTAAACCTCTACTTGTTGTTTCTTTGTCAAAAAATAAATTTCCAACGCACAACCCAGTTGCCAACTGTCACTTGTTCATTATACCCGTTAATAAACCCTATTTAATAAAAATCGGCAGGTGCGGCGTTCATACGAAAGACGTAGTACAGCTAAGAGATGGCGCCAAAAGGAAGGGTTACGTTAGAGTTTTACGGCTATTAGAATCAGACTCGACAACTTCACTGAAAAAAGAAGCGAGCTATCAATTATGACATCTGAAAAAATAATACCATGTTCAATTGGACCAAACTG